CATCCGGCTGTTAAACACACAGGAAGATCAAGATCAGTTAAGCATGCCACTGACTCAGGTAGAGAACAAAGTCTTGTTTTGAGGTCTCCAGCACTGCAGGCCACAGTGGGTGTTCTGGTGCTGGGGTCACAATTGTGTACATGGGGCTAAGAGGCATGTGGCAGAAACTATAACCTGAGACTTAGGCTTCGTGCTATATATGAACTGGCTTGGTGCACGTACCTGCTCCTGTCCTGCCTACCCTGCTTTTGTTAGAAGGGGCCATGAGTATAACTATACTCTCCAGTTGTGCAGTTTAAGGTGATGACTCAATAGGCAGAATGAGGATTAAGGGAAAGGGCTAAGATGAATGAAAACTTCACCATGGTCAAGGAATCAAATACTCCCTGGCATGTGAAGTTTGCTGTCATTGCCTCTTTCATACATCCCTTTAGTCAGTCCTGCCTTTTTTTTTTCCTTCTCGTTAGAAATGAGGTTCTGATTTAGCTGGTTAACACTGAGCAACTTGTGGCCCTCCTGTGACCCTGGGACCCAAATGTCAGCTAAAAGCAATCTCTTCAAAACACCAATGCAGGTGCAATCTTTCACACCTGCAGTGTCTGAGTGATAAAACCATGTGCTGTGCCTCCAGTAGTGAAGCTGCAAGTCAGCTCCAAGACCAGAAACTGCATTTTTTTTCATTCTTGCTGTTTTTTTCTTTTCTCTCTTCTGTGTATTTGTCTTATTTTGTTTTTAAGGAAGTAGGACTCCAGCAGAGAGCAACAGTTCAAGCCCATCTTAACTGAGTTTGCCCATTCTCTCTCTTTTCCTTCTTCCCCATGAAAAGGATTGTTGTTACCATTTTCAAAGAATCATAGAAAGTTAGGTTGGAAGAGACTGGTGATAGAATAGGCTATACCTAAACTATTCCTCTCACATGTTTGTATAAAAAATCTCCAGTGATGGAGATTTCACAGCCTTCTTCAGTTATCTATCTATCCTTAACATAAACAACAGCAAAGAGATTGTCTAACCTTGGATTTTTTCCCTTAAATGTTCTATAACTAAAAGAAAAGAGATTAGAGCAATTTTTTTTAAATAAAAGCCTTACTTAGCACTTTATGCTTTAACTGTGTTGGGTTTTTATGTAGCTGACAAAGTTTAAAATGTTATTAACAGTGATTGTTTACCAGGCAGCTAGAAGCCTCTGCACTCAAAACCTTAAACTTTGATTTTAATATTGTATAGTGGGGGTCATGTTAACATTTGTTGATAATTATTCCATTGAAATTAATGAAGACTCTAACTTCATGTTGAGGAGGGGTGGCTGTTCCTTAAACACCTATGCAGGCAAACTGGAATAGGTGAAATGCAGCTGTCTCTCTTCTTAACTGCTTCTATAAATGAATGTCTCATCAAAATCAATTCAGGTCATGTTCCTGTGAGGATTATGTACATGCCAACTGTGACCTTAAAAAACCCCCAAAATATGTCCTGCATTTGGATGCCCCCAAAAACATTTGAATAGTTTCTTTAGTGGCTGAAACATTTATGATCATTTAACTCAAGCAAGAGAAAATGGAAAATTCAACGCTGAAAATCACTATGTAATTTCAACACCCCCTATTTTTTCCCAGTACCATCTCCTCAAGGGAGGAGCTATCAATCACAGAAATTAGGAGATTATAGTTAAATTAAAGCATACTCTTCTGCATAACAGCAGTGATGCTATTTTGTATGGAGCCTCATTACTATTTTGTCAGTGACTTGTTAAAGAAACGCTGTATCTTGTGTCCATTGTGAACAGTCTTCAAAATGTCAGGAGTTGCGCTGCTACCTTGTCCCTGCAGGAAACTATCTCAATTACACAATAGCAGCAGTGGTAGGAGGTCTTATTCCTATTCTACCATATTTCCTTTGAAGAAGAATGAACTTCATAATTTAAGACTATTTAAATGCTAACCCTAAGTATAAGAATAGACAACTTCTGAAGGAAAACCTTGGGTCTGAGGCATCCTCTTTCCAGCTTAATTGTGAGAGACAGAAAAACATGGTTAAAGAGTGTATTGCAT